CCCCCAACTACAGTCTGCAGTGAAGACTGAATAGGTCGGGCTGGATAACCTCCTGAACCCTGCCCTCTGTACTAAGAACCATTAAACTCACCTCCCTTACGAAACCTCTTAGATGTCGATGCCATGGTGAAGTCATCTGGCTTCACTCCCTCCACCTCTATCACGAATTCTACCACTTCCTGAAAGGATTTCGTTGCCGCTACCTGTAAGGCTGAAATCCGCAAATCTGACCACAACCCCTTCACAAAACGGCGAATCCGCTCTTTTGGACTGAAGGAAAGCTGGGTGGCATACCTGGATAATGCACGGAACTTAGCCTCATACGCAGTCACCGACATCTTGCCTTGCTCTAGGCTCAAAAACTCATCTCTCCTCCTATCCCTCAAGGTCCGGGGGATATACTTCTCCATAAATAAGCTAGAGAACGACGCCCAAGTCATAGGTGGTGCCTGTGCGGGTTGAAACTCAACATGTGACCACCACCACATTTTGGCATTTCCCTGAAACTAATAGGTTAGAAACTCAACGCCAAATTGTTCCACTATGCCCATTTTATGTAGTAACTCATGGCAATCAACCAGAAAATCGTAGGCATCCTCGGATTCAGCACCCTTGAAGACTGGAAGTTTCAATTTCAAGAACTTACTGAAAAGTTCATGCTTATCGCTTGTCATTATAGGCTCTGTAGTCAAACGAGGAAACGTGCCTATTTCCAATGAGGCATCCATGCGGGGAGCCTCAGCAGCGGCCTGTCGTACTTCCGGAACCTGAGGTGCTGGTGCAGAAAACACTGGAGGTGTCTGGCCTTGATCAGTTAACCCGCTAAGATAAGCAAGAACCTGATTAATCATCTCTGGGGTAGGTTGGGGTGGTAATTCTTCATTTTGCACTTGCTCACTTTCCCCTTCCTCACCCTCTCTTACTACTTCCTCAGTCGGTGGAGGAGTCACCGCCCTAGTACTAGATGGGACAGGTGTTTGTCCTCTTCCTCTAGAGGACGTCCTCCCACGACCTCTACCACGACCCTTGTCACTGCTCCTCTTCGAGCTACAGCCCCAGTGGCTGGCTTAGACGCACCCTGTCCGACCGGTGCTGGTGTTGGCGTAGTTGTTGCTCTAGTTCTAACCATCTGCGAAATAGAGTGGAGATGGTCAGATACCAATTTGTATAACCTAGATACCAATTGGATCCAAGTAATAGCACGAAAGAAGGAAAGAATAGAACTTTCCTAAAGTCTTATAGCCTCTCAAAGAAAAGTAAAGGCGTCCCCCTACCATTCCTCAAGACTCTACTAGACTCGTTCTTGTGTGATGAGACCAACGAACTTAATGCTCTGATACCAATTTTGTCACGACCCAAAATGGGTCACGAGTGGCACCCACACTTATCCTACTATATGAGCGAACCAACCAATCTAAACCCTAACATTTTCAAACATAGTAAACATAAAAAAATGCGGAAGACTTAAAACTCAATAATAACTTCTAAAACTCAAAACTTATCATTATCCCCAAAATCTGAAAGTGATCACCACAAGAACATCTATCCTCAAGATACTAAATCTAAGAATATCTAGGAAGCTAAAATAATAAGCACCAACTCCATGCCGGAACTTCAAGGCATCAAGACATGAAAAAGAAGATCTAGTCCAAGCTAGAAGCGTTAGCTCACCCTGAAATCCGGTGAAATGAAGACTGGCTAGAGTTGCGATTGAGTTGAAGACAACGGTACGTTTGCTGTACTCCACAAATAACAAAGGAAGAAACATACAAGTAGGGGTCAGTACAAACACAAGTACTGAGTAGATATCATCGGCCAACTCAAAATAGAAAACAGTATATATCAGATAATATCATAAAATTAATTACAATACTCAACATGCGGCATTTACAATTACCATAACCCTTGGTCACAACACCAAGCACATCAATGAGGACTCACGCCTCCCCATCATAATCATTGTTGGGAATTAGGTTCATTAAATTGAGTATATTAACATATTTCAAGATTCATTCTCTTTACTAATCCTGGTGCCGGAACGTGACACTCCGATCCTCATATACTATCTGGTGTCGGAACGTGACAGCCGATCCATATTCTATCCTGGTGTCGGAACGTGACACTACGATCCTGATATACTATCCTGGTACCGGAACGTGGAACCCGATCCATATACTATCCTGGTGTCGGAACGTGACACTCCGATCCTCATATACTATCCTGGTACCGGAATGTGGCACCCGATCCATATACTATCCTGGTGTCGGAACGTGACACTCCGATCCTCATATACTATCCTGGTACCGGAACGTGGCACCCGATCCATATTCTATCCTGGTACCGGAACGTGGCACCCAATCCATATACTATCCTGGTGTCGGAACGTGACACTCCGATCCTCATATACTATCCTGGTACCGAAACGTTGCACCCGATCCCCTAATCTCACTACTTTCGTTCATCAAGCCTTCTTTTATACCAAGGCATCATCATTAACAAAGTAGATTAGGGTTTTTCAAGATTTAGGATTCAATAGATTCATCATGCTTATTTTATCACAATTATATAATCACATTCATGCAAGCATACAATTAAGCATATAGAAGGGTTTACAACACTACCCAATACATATCATTCGCTATTAAGAGTTTACTACGAATAGCATAAACCATAACCTACCTCCACCGAAGAATTGCGACCAAGCAGTCTACTTTCCCAAAGCTTTGCTTTCTTCTTCGTTCTCTCCTCTTGATCTATCGTTTCTCCCTCTCTCTGTTCTTTCTATTTTTTTATTCAAACTCTCTATCTTTTACCCTAATTACCATATAATTAAGTATAAAAGATGGTAAAATACCCCACTACTTGTTTTAAGGTTCTCTCTTTTAACCCCCAAGTAATTAAATTATTAACATTAAACCACTAACTTTATAATTATAAGCAGGAATAGTCCAAAATGCCCCTTAAAATATTCAACAGAATTCCGACCCAGTCAGGGTCACGCAGCCTGTGACGGCCCGTCGTGCCTGCGACGGTCCGTCCTGCTGAGTCGTCACAGAGTTCAGAGACTGAAATTTACTGAAGGGCCTGTAACGGTCCGTCGTGCCCACGACGTTCCGTCCTGCCACGTCATTGCGAAGTTCAGAGAGTTGATTCATCATGCTTATTTTATCACAATTATATAATCACATTCATGCAAGCATACAATTAAGCATATAGAAGGGTTTACAACACTACCCAATACATATCATTCGCTATTAAGAGTTTACTACGAATAGCATAAACCATAACCTACCTCCACCGAAGAATTGCGACCAAGCAGTCTACTTTCCCAAAGCTTTGCTTTCTTCTTCGTTCTCTCCTCTTGATCTATCGTTTCTCCCTCTCTCTGTTCTTTCTATTTTTTTATTCAAACTCTCTATCTTTTACCCTAATTACCATATAATTAAGTATAAAAGATGGTAAAATACCCCACTACTTGTTTTAAGGTTCTCTCTTTTAACCCCCAAGTAATTAAATTATTAACATTAAACCACTAACTTTATAATTATAAGCAGGAATAGTCCAAAATGCCCCTTAAAATATTCAACAGAATTCCGACCCAGTCAGGGTCACGCAGCCTGTGACGGCCCGTCGTGCCTGCGACGGTCCGTCCTGCTGAGTCGTCACAGAGTTCAGAGACTGAAATTTACTGAAGGGCCTGTAACGGTCCGTCGTGCCCACGACGTTCCGTCCTGCCACGTCATTGCGAAGTTCAGAGAGTT